TCAAAGATTTGAAAATTTTTAATTATCTATAATATATCCTAGACTGACAAATCATCTCCGTTCAGAATCGTTTTTCGTATACAATGATACCTATCATTCCATTCAAATCTAACCTACCCTAGTCAGAGGTCCACCCCACCACCTAATGTACAGCAGAGCGACATCCACTTACCCGCTCTTTTAATGTTTCACCTTAAATAATCATCCATCTTCCCATACTCAATACTCAAATACGTTTACTTGTTGTGTAATCCCAACCTCTCTGCTTTAATATTTGTAAACATGTATAGTCATTAGTCACTATAATATTGTTGTTGAACCTATCTGATCTTTTAATTCATATTTTATTTATATGGTCTATAAGGTCTATGTATAATGTATATAATATATTACAATAATATGCAATATGCATAACATCTTAAACTGCTCACACACGGTCTTAGAATACATAAGTATTTATGCTCACATGTGTGTTATCAAAGTGTATCTTAACACTGATAAGATATCAAATAGTTAATTTCAAACAAATATTATTGTATGATAAATTAAATTAAATTTATCATGCCATCATGCCATCATAGTAAATAGTAATACACTAATGTCTAATACACTATACACTTATACAGTTACTCGTAAGACTTACCATCCAGACCCCAAACATTTTCATTTGTAAGTTATTGTATTCTGTGATCCATGGATCTGGATTTTCTATAAAAAATACACAGTCGCTCCAAAATACAAATTACTGACTACAATTGTCACGAAATCAGCGCTGGGTATAGGTAGGTATTAATTTAATGAATATTAAAATTTACAAGCCATAAGACATTTTATTCATTTATTGTTTGTATATTAATTCTACTTTGAAAATTGCCCTCAATCATGTAGATGTACTTTTTATTTTAATGTGTGTAGATAGGTAATATTTTACTAACAATTTCAAATGTAAACTATATATTAGTATTTTTCATGTGCACATTGAATTTAAAAAATACTATGATAGTGGGTAATCATAATTTAAATATTGACTCAATTAATTTTCATTAGGTACAACATTTATATATAATTTATGTTCATAATAATTAGGTATATAAAATTATTAAATAAGAAATAAACTGTTTGTTATAGGTAGATGAATAAACATTGTTTGCATTAAAAATGAATTCAACTGAAAAAATTCTAAAAACATTGAGTGCAGATCAAATTTCTCAAGTTGTTGCTGGTGTGCAAGCAGATTTGGATGATGAAATGGTTAAAACAAAACGAACACTAGATCAAATCGATCAAAATATTTTCACTTGTATCAACAATTTAAAAAAACTTAGAAGAAGCATCATAATATCACATTATGCAAAAATGAAAAATAATGCTGATGGCAATAAAAATTGTCAAAGAGATGCACTTCTCAAAAATTTGGACTGCGAAGACGAAGCAAAAGACTTGAGTGTATTTATGACAAACCTAAGTAATGTATCAACACAAGTAACAACTGAGCCTGCAAGCAACATAGAACTACTTAGCAAAAACATCTCACAAAATGCTTTGCCTTCTGGATGCTTTATTCCTAAGACTGGATTAATTGATTTAACATTTGTTATTGGAAATATTGTTAAAATAAGTGATTCTGAAAATGAAATGAAATACAAATGGACTGTTTATGTACGCAATGCAGAAGAAGGAGTTGACAATTTGGTTTATATTGACAAAGTGACATATTTCTTACATGAATCCTATGAACCCAACCATATTGTAGATGTAATTAAAAAACCATTTTCATTAACAAGACATGGATGGGGGGAATTTGTAATTCGTTTACGTTTACACTTCAAAGGTAACATGAATGTCCAAACTGATGTATATCATAAACTGTGTCTGAATAAAGACATAACAGTTGGTATTCCAATGGTTGCTAAGGAGCAAACTGTTAAGTACAAATTATTGCTGCACAAATAGTAGGTATATTTTTTAATGTACATTTAGTCTTTGTAAATATTGTGTAAATAGATATATGGTAATTATATATTATGATGTATATTGAACCTAAAAATTATATTTTACTTTTAATTGTAATTATATAAAAAAAATCTGATACTAAGCAAAAGCTTATAAATTATTATTTGTTTTTGATTCTATAGTACTTCAGTTAGAATTAGCTAGTATATTATATGTTAGTTCTACATTTATTACCCTCATATTACCTATTCAAAGGTTATTTTGACAATAAAACTAATATAAGGTTTAAGATTAAAATATAATAATTTATAATTGAGTATCTACTTATAGGTACTTTGATTTGGATAAATTTGATGGGCTTGAATTAATAATAACAATAATTAGATAATAGGTATTAAGTATGACTTAATACTGTTTTTTAAATTCATACTATATAATTCTTTTGTATATTTATATTTTATATAAGTTACCATCAATTTATTACAAAACTACCTATGTTCTATATAATGTACCAATTATTCTAATAATTATAAAATACATTAAAATGTTCTATATACATATTATTGATTAATGAATACCCAATCATTGTTTCAATTTATTGCCAGCGTAGATTTTATGAGCATGTCATGATATATAATCATACACCCCTATTATGGTGTAGCGTCCCAGCATACAGGAAGACGAACGACTTGTGTTGGAGTAGATGGTAGATAGCAATGGCAAGCCACACACAAATTAAAGGTTAATTTTCTTTACAATTTTACATTTTCAAGTTTGAGGCTGCGGGTTGTGTTTTTAAAAATTCCAAGTTTTTCTACAGCTGATGTCAATTGATACCTTTATTACGTATATCGAAATTGAACAGCTGACATTTCTTATCTATATTCTATATCGTGATAATAGTAAATAGAGATATGTCCGTACTTTCGTAAATTATAGTTTTCTGATCTTTTCATCTTTTGGTCCACAAGCTCACAATAATTACCAATTTATAAAGAATAAAACTACTACAGAAATTTCTTAATTAATAACTAAAAGTGGTAGTTGTCAAGTTCACAGATTATAGTAATTCAATCAAATACTATATACAATATATATTGTATATAGTATTTGATACTTTTAAAAATGAGCAAAAAACCAGAATCTTCATCTAAATGTCGAACAGTGAGTATCCAAATGTATTAGATACAAATAACAACTTTTAATTACAATATATTGCTTTATCACTCCAGCATCAATGTAGTGTAAAATATACTTAACAATTAACAAATGTCTGGTATTTATTTAACTTTATTGTAGGTAATATTTACGTTTTAATTTTTATAAAATAAAATTCCAATCTTTGCTGTATACTTGATTACAATTGATCTCCTATGGTTGATTAGGGTGGACATTCATTTCAGAAGATCTGGATYATTACATATTTAAGAAATCACTGTATGGTATCCCAAAGAAGTACTCCAGGACATTAGTGTTTTTACTGGGTTTATTCATCACAATAATGATAATTTCCTGCCATAAAACATTCTGTTTAAGTAAATTCGACAGATGACTTTAATATTTTTATTTTTATTATGAACATTTTTAATTTACTTAATAATTATTTAAAACCAGTTAAATACGCAAATGTAAMATGGTAATGGGTGAATAAGTCATGATAATTTTTCTTAGTTTTCTGGAATATTCTGAGTAAAAATGAAAATGAATTTATAAAGATTATCCGCATCAGGCACACAAAAATAATAAATTAATTGGTAATGTATTTATGCTAATCAAATTAATAGGTAATGTATTTATGCTAAAAAAATTAATAAAATAATTATACTTATCTATTGTATGATACGGTATCATTGATACCTATTACAATATAATATGTACTAAGTACTTGTATTTATATCTTTATAAAATAAACAAATTAAAGTGGGTTGTCTTATTTTATAATTTTAATATTATATATTTTAGTAAAATAAAGTATCTATTACCTTACAGTTAGCCGTAAGGTTTGAATTTGTCATTCTAGATTTTAAAATAATTTAATCTGGCAACACTTTTATAGATGTTAATGTATTTTATAATATATAAACAAACTGATTGAATTTTGGCTGTTTAAGTGGTATTTTATTTAAACCACTTATAACATACCAAATTTATGTTTAGCAGAACCAACCTTATGTTATCACTTTTAATATTTTGGTGAATTCCCCCATTAACAAACTTTAAGTTGAGAACAATGCTTGTCTCCCTATGTTGGCTATTTTATAATATTAAAAATAATTTTTTTTAAACAATAAATGACAAAGCAAAAATCTTTTATGAAAGATTCCATTTCCACCTAAATACCTAATCACCCAAATCAACATATAAAAATTTGGCCACTCCCATAATTCCTGAGAATCCTGTGAGACGGTTGAAGCGTAAATGGTATCGTGATCTCTTAAATTAAATTAAATATTTAAATTAATTAATTTATTATCAAGCTAACAGAAAGTGTCATCAATGGGTGGCTCCTTTTATTAAAATCTCATGACCTGTCAACTTTTATCTAATATTCTTATTGTGTCATGTATAATTAATGATACAGATTGTTTATTTCTTGTAAAAATAAAAAATAATTTTTATGTAAGTTATGAACAGGTAAATAATCACAATTTAAAAATGCATTTTTGGTTTAAATTGTATAAAATTAAAATATTCTAAAAAAATCAAGGGAAACATGTAATATCATAAGTTTAATGTATGATAATAGATGAATAATTGACTTTATATTAAATATTTAAATGTAACAATACAGTCAATACAGAGTTAGTTCTGATAAACATAAATTTGTTATGTTACACACATGGATCAAAGAGAGAAACAAATGGTACGCTAACATCATTTTTAAGATATTAAATTTACCAATACATTTTAAAATAAGTACCTATTATTGTTACTTGTAGTATTTTAGATTTATTGTTAAATTGTATAGATATTTTTAATAGGTATTTTGAAATTGAGGATAGATATGTCAGTTTTCCATTTTTGTTTTTAATTATTTAATTATGATATTGACAATTTGTAAAAACTTTAAAGAAACTTATCCTATACTGTTATGATATAAAAAAAAAAATTAATTATAAAATAAGTTATTGTCATGGGAAAAACTAATGAGATACACATGTATATTTTATGGATGTGGGTATTGCTGGACATAAAAAAATGTCATGAATTACTTATAGTCAATCTTGAACCTTTTATTTGTCTTAATAAATTAAGTATAATATGTACCATAATCTATTCATGGTATATTGTAACATTACCATTGTAGTAAGTACTTCATCAAACTGTATGTTAATTGTTATTATATATTATGATACATTTCAATATTTCATGATACTATCAAATTGTAATTAAATATATTAGTTATTTATTTATGATTTAGTTGTATAATGATGAATGGTCTGTTTGTAAAATATTATTTTAATATAATTTGTCATTTAACCATGTGGCAATGACAAGGCATTATAGGTTGACAATGTAGCTATTAAGAGGTCATGGTTTCAAATATGTAGATACCTAGTCCCTGGCTCAGTGATCCTAGTACTAAAAAAATTAATTACAATCTTCTAAGTTTATAAACTACCTATTGTTCAAACTATTATAGATAATCATCATAAATCATCTTATAACTACATTTTCAAACAATTGTACCGTTGCATAAAATATGTCTTAATAGTATGCCTATTTAAGTTTTTGGAAAAAAAAAAGTTATGCAAAATACTCACTTATTACTTTATCATTCACTGACTAGTAATATTCATGATTAATAAAATAATAAATTGTCGTTATAGAAATTAGATACATTTAGAGGATGCAGTGGGTAGGTATTAACTAATTAAACTTATTGTGTTGTTAATACAAAATATATGTGTTGGACTAATCAAATTAGATTACATGCACACTTTAAAGTTTAATGAATGTACCAATCACAAAAAACTTTTAATTTGTTTTCTCAATATATACTTCATTGTGGTTGAATAAATATTAGATTTGTTGGCATATGTAAATATGTTGCGATGTCTCAAATGATGAACGATGAACTTTATTGTAACAAATTTTAATTTCTCAACATTCATGAAATAATTCCAATTATAATTTTGAAATTAAAATTTGCTCGTCTCATTTAATATTATTTAGTATAATAGGTACTATATAATATTATATGATACTCCTTTATTATGCTCTTTAATATTTTTGCAAACTTCAAGGTGAAGTTATGGACATTTTTTTTAATGACAGTAGTGATAAGTAGGTATATATATAATATATTAATATCTTAAACATTGTCCATTGGAAGGTGGGGCCTAGATATTTTTCTTGCGTGCTCATGATTGTATTATATATTTTAATTGCTAGGTAGAGCCGCGTCATGCTGTTTTACAACCACGCTCTTGATTTCTGTTATTTTTTGACAACTCGTTGCTATTGATATTTGATATTGATCATCACATTCATCACTGTTCAATTTTTGCGAGACAAAATCATTGTAACCCAATGTCATAATAGAGCCAGCAATGGAATTTTCACGGTACATTAATTCTATTTCATAGTTTGTTATTGTTATGTCTTCAATTCTGAATAACGTCCTTGTTAAAAATACAATAAACAATACCTATCGATATAGATACATTGATATGGAATAATAATAATAATAATAATAGTAATAACCGAAAATAACTGAGTGATGATGATGGCACCTATTACCTAGTACCTACTAAATGTGGTACAAACTCGGTAGGAATAGGAAATTATACAGTTAATTCTGTGGCTTTAGTGGTTGGACGAAAAAATATTACCTTTTTTTTGTTATTTAACTTTACAGCCTTATGTACAAAACCTTGGAAGTTGTAACCTTAAGTCTTGCGGTATAAAATTAATTTCCGATTAAAATTGGAGTATTTCTTGATGAATAAATAACACAGAAAAAAATTAATACGATCCAGACCTTATGAAATGAGTAAAATTGGTTCGTACATTATTTCTTATATTATATTCTTAGCTTTTAATATTTAGTTAAATC